TGGCCATTTGTATGTAACGAACTCCACTTCGCTCCCGATTGCAGCAGCCATGTGACGCGCGCTTTCCTTGAAGCTAGGAGACAGGAAATTTTCAAACAACCAGAATTTGACTTTGGCTGATGTTCGTTTAGTTACTGATAGCATCATGATCTTCAAAAAACGCTCATACAGGTGCCCCGTTGCCAAGGAAAATACGTTGATTACGTCGGCATTGTCGTCGCCGCTCAGTTCTTCCTTGTCCTCAAACAAACTTTCGCGTTCGTAGCCAGGTCTGCGCTTAACAATTAAAAGCTCTCCCTTATTAACGAAATCTTGCAGAGCTATAGTCTTTATCTTTTGATCCTCGCCACTCTCGCTGCTTGTGATTAGCCTTCCACGACGATACTCGCCAGGAATTATATCAAAGATTGTAGCACCTTTAGTGCCGCTAGCCATTGCAAGGTCCCAAAGCCCTGGACCGGCCTGCATCTGCCAGTACCCTGCATTTAACATCACAATTGTATCGGAATGAACGTGGTGCGATGGACCATATAGGTTGCGATGGTCAATGATTGTCCCATCAAGTCCGACTTCCTTGCTTGCGCTTGAGGTAGCGTACCGGTTGGAGAGCTGACGGGATAATGTTAATTGCAGGCCACTGGGAGGGCTGCCCGATGTCTCAAAGCACTGGCCGAAGATGAGTAGGCTTTTTAAATCATATTCGACTTTTGTTATTAGCTTCTGCTCGTACAAAGGTATTGTCATACTATCTTTTCCGGTATAAGTTTCGTCGCTACAACCGCTGTAGACATCGCATCGCAGATTATCGGAATCTTGTACGGCAAAAGACTGCTGCACATTCCATGGTTCCGCTACGTCAATTTGCAGGGTCAACACGTGGTTTGTAGGAAGATTATGAAAGTGAGCCCCTGGCGACATTTTTGGCACCAAGTCAGCGCTGACCACAAAGCGATAATAGCTTGATACAGGAATTTTCGAATCCCCGTCAATTACAAGCTCTGGCCTCATAACTACTATCAAATCCATACGCATATGTTCGTGCAATAATCGGAGAATCGTCGAGAGGCGCTGGGCGGAAATAGTTGCTGGATCAACGACGGCGCACCCATGCAGCTTTAACGTATCTCCATCAGCAATGCTCCATGCCATGCGCAAGGGATTTCCATCTGCGGCCCATCGATCGCCGAGCTTTGTCAGCGACAAGGCCTTGTCGACGTGGACTCGAGCAATATTGCTCTCGGCATAGGCCAAGAACGATGCCGTGCGCGCTATGCCATCCGCCGACGCATCTTCCAAAAGACGCGAAACTGCTCGCGCTCGCGCTGACTCCAAGCGTAAAAGTAACTCTAGATCGTCGCGCGTTGGCTGTGTTTTGGGATCAAGCGCATAAATACGCCCGTTGACGGAGATGAAGGAGGGTGGAAGTGATGGATCTTGATAGCCATCACTCAAACACGCAGCTGACGTCAAGTTTTTCTTGATTTTGTCAGAAACGACAGATCCATCAAGTAGATTGTCTATTGCAGCCCCGCTAGATGCGTTGGAAAAAATTGAGCGCAGCTTAGCCGTGCCCAGTAATGAAGCATGCAATAAGGCGCTGCATAATGCTCCACTCGCTCCGTGCCGCATCTTGGGAATAAAGCGAAACTGAATCGAAATATCATCCGGGGTAGCGTTGGAGGATTCAAATGCATCGAGTACATCGAGAAGTGCCAGCGCTTGTTTAAAAGCTCCATCCACGCTAAAATCGAAGACTCCTTCGATAATAACATTGGGCTGAGGCGTCGATGGTGATTGCGGTGACAAAAGTGAAGCTTGTGCAAACAAATGGTCATGCTTCACGAAAGAACCCCCATTCTCATCTGCGTCTACAAGTAATGGATGGAATCGACCAAAGACTTTATCACCGCTCAGCAAATGTCCATAAACACTCTTAGGGCCAGTGTCAGTAATTTCGCCCGTGGCAATCAAGTTGAACACATAACGCTGTTCGTCGTTTACCACTTTTCTCAGCCCGTCTGATTCCCGATTCAGAGGCAGTGGCCGCCCATTCAAAAAACTCATTCCTGCCGATAATCTCTTTTCTGCCGCAAAGCGTAATGCATGACCATATGATAGTTCATCATCGGCGCTTGGTGTCTGTGACAAGCCAAACATAGCAGCTTCTTGGGCATCGGCCGACTCCTTTATGCCTAATCCTTCAATTAGATTGCCGTGTATGACAACTAGATCGTATAAAGACATATGACCTCGTAACTCGGAATGCTCTCGTAGCTGAGACGCAAAGTATTCCAGGTACGCCAGCGCTGCGCCGCTTTCTTTACCATTGCCTTTCAGGAACGAATGGAAAATTCGATGAAAGGCATGTGTTGATGCCTTTATGCTTTTAAGGGCATCCAGCGATGGCTTGCCTGACACAATATCTTGTGTTGGACAAGGAGCGGCATCGTCAACATTCACTTGCAAGCCTAGCCATTGCGAGCATGCTCTTATATCCTCGTCGCTGACAAATAGCGAGCCGATTCGAATCGGAAATTGACTCTGCATCAGCTGCATGGCCACCTCCAAGCCAATATTTTCTGGACTTTTTATTGGATCTATTACTGCCAACATAGTGAACAAATTGCGTCGAACCATAGGAGGATAGCTGTGACACAACGAGAAGTGTAAGTACAAGGTCGTCGATGCACGTTTATATACCACCACTCGGCTGCCTACCCGTATTGCATGTTCATAAGCATCTTCTTGACTGATCGAGGCCACTGCATAAACATTCGATCTTTTTCCACATCATTCAGATATAGAATCGCCTGTTTGCCGCCCCGAGCAACATCCACTCGGTAGCCTTTTTCACCTGCGGTGGTATCCTTAGCTTCGTTCGCCTCTGCAGACGTTGCTGCTTCGTCACTAGTTTTGCTACTTCGCATAAACTCGTCTCCCATAATCCAGGCTTCTTGGACAGCTCGAAGCTGCTCCATGGTCAGATATGGACCCAACTGCTCTTGCAAATCCGTCAGCGCCGCGTGTTCTTCCTTCATTACATCCATCAACTCAAACACATTGAACGACGGACGATCAAATCGAATGGCTCGTCCATTAATGTAAAACTTCCCAGCTTGAATAGCGCTAGCATCATGCAGCTTGGTGGCCATTTCCAGCACCGTTTCGTTGATTTTGACGTGCACCAACGTAGACGCGAGCGACGGCAAGTTTTGGCTGACATCCTCCAACGTTCGCAGTGGATCCGACGAGGCGGCAATGACCGTGGTCATTTGCAGCGGCAACTGACGTCGCTGCCAGACCGGTGGGATGATTTGCGATTGGAGTTGTCGTTCATCATGTAGTTGCCACAGCTTGGACGCCAGCTCCTGTCGACGTGTCGTCAACTCATCGCCACCATTTTCGCCACGAAGCATACGATTCAACAATGGGGCAGTCAAGTTAACCCCCGCCAAAAATTCGTTTGGCAATTTGATGGTAGGATCAGTCACATTGACCATACTGGATGATGCTTGCTCATCTCCCATAGCATTCGTTCGTCGATCGTCAAACACCTTGTACTCGACGTTGCGAATGTCGAGACGGACGCCATAGCCTTGCAATACGGTAGGCTTTGCCAAGGAAGCATCCTCCTCGTACGTGACGGCGCCCAAGTGGCGAATGACAAATTTGATGTTCGCGGATTGCTGCGTTAGTAGATTGTAAACGCGTGCAAAATCAACCGTTCCAAGGTTGGCGTAGAGGACTACGAAGATCGCTGACGTTTCATTGGAGCCTTGAAGTCGCTCGCCCGGTAGTATCAAATCGGTGTATGTATTGTTAATTGCCATATCGCTGCTTGTCAGTTTCTCCCAATCCAACGACTGCAAGCCTTCCATTCCAATTACAACTTGCTCCATTGGATACAAGACAGCCATGGCATTCATCACTGTCTCGTTTTGCACGGCAAGCAAATCACTTTGCTGCAAGAAAGTCTGCCTAGCCAATCCCCGATGCAGCTCGCACTTTGGACTCGACGCGCGCATGGCCAAGTGGAACTCGAGCAAGGACGTGTCAGGGTTGATGCTTGCCGCTGCGGACAAGGCTCGTTTGTTTGCAGTTTCTTGTTGCACTTCATCTTCATGCAATTTCTCTTCTTGCAGTATTATAGAAGCAAGCGCATCCAAAAATTCGTTCGACTGTGACGCAAAATATGCCATGGCTTCGCAGTAGACATTGTGCACTGTCGTTGGCCAGGAGCGCGCCACCACTTGAGCAGATATTTGACGATTCACAAGGGGCGAAACAAGTGTTTGCGAATTGTCATCCATACTACTTGCTTTGGTAACTTTGGACGGCTCGGAAGAGTCTTGCGCCGCGTCATCATTTGAAAGCCAGGACGACCAGGACGATGATGCCGACGAAAAGTGGCATCCCAGCAAGGTCGAGGCGGCGATTAGCGCAAGGCCCTGCAGACGCATGACTTTTTGTGACGGGCGAGACAATGCACTTTACAGTCTCTTAAAGCAATGTACAAGCAAAGGATTGTTGATGATAGAAGTTGGTCCAAAGATCTTCGATTGATTCTGCGGCGAGTAGACTAGCCGAATGGATGGGTCGATCATCTTTGAGTACCGGTCGGACGGCATTGCCTGCAGCACGATATTATGGCTGTCGATCGTGTGGAGGTACGAATACACCGGTATGTACTGTACATACTGTTTGTACCACCTGAAAGTCGACCAACATGTTGTAGATATCCGCTTTTAGCAGCCTGCCTCTTATGAATAAAGTAAGTCTACATATCAGCAGTAAGAGGAGCTGATAATGCATCCATTTCTTCACAAGAGCCAAGCTGCTGTCCGGCACATCTAAGTCAAGCAAAAGCTGATCACAAGAATTGGACAAGTTGCAACTCGTATCTCTTGCATGAAAGCGACGCACAAGAAGTAGTGTTTATCTTCGCCCACTCAGTCAGAGATCTTATAACAAACAACCTGTTCCAAAGATATGAGAAAACATCTCTGATAGTATAGTGGTTAGTATCCCCGCCTGTCACGCGGGAGACCGGGGTTCGATTCCCCGTCAGAGAATACTTTTGTCAAGCTCACTATCATTTTTTTACTGTTAGTAGTAGGTGGAAGCGCTATGTTGTGCCCAAGCGACGCAAGAGTCTGTCCTGAAACACTCTCTGATAGTATAGTGGTTAGTATCCCCGCCTGTCACGCGGGAGACCGGGGTTCGATTCCCCGTCAGAGAACATCGTTTTGGTAGGCAAACAATCAAAAATCGTTTTGTTACGTCGCCAAATCTTAGTAGTAGCAGATGGAAGCGCGTCCTGTTGCCGAAGCGCCGCAAGACTCTGGTATGATACACATACCCTCACCAGCCAAAAGGCAGAGAAAGAGTTTTGACCAATCGATTATCAGTTAATGTTTCTTGTCCGAGCAAGACGAGAAAGTCTCAATCTTGCAATTGGTAGAACGTCCTACAATGAAAGCTTTTAATGCTCGGACGTCAACATTGTGCTTGTGCTACGCGAAAATCAACCCAATCGTCGGATAGTAATGTAAAGTGTATCTATGCAATAGCAGTATACGCAATCATAAGCTCAACCAAAAGCAACTGTTTCACGCGCCTTGTCAATCGCATTCTGCGGCTCCGGCAAGATCAACAATCGATTCTCCAAAGCAACACTTTGATCAAACGCCATGACATGCAGCTCATCTAGAATTCCGTCTAAAATACTGGACTCGTGGATCATATATGCTGTCGATGGCAATGATCCGACACGATCAATCGTGATACCTTCGTCAGTTGTCAGCTCCACTGTCAGCATGGCCGACCCGTCGTGAAAAAAGAACTCTATGACAAACTCGTCGCTCGCCGTTGTTAGCTGATTTGCCCTCCACAGGCGTTGTCCCTCTGGCGACTTTTGCTTCCCGAGCAAGTAAAACATGAGGAACAGTCGCAAGCCGCCAGGCTTGATGCTTTGAACCGGAATGTGCACAATACGAGTGGTTCCAGCAGGGCTGTCATCATCGCAACTATTGGTTGAGAAACTTTTGCTGCCGTTGTTCGTCAGTTCATTGTTGTTTGTTCCCAATTTATTATCCTCCTGCGGTTTCCAAAACTCGCCGAAGAAACTATAAAGGTCGTCAAGCCACCCGGCTGACACTCTTGTTATCGAGCGCCGGAGGGTACTGGACCTGATTTTAGACGACGGTGAGAATGACATGGACTCACGAAGCAAAAAGCATGTTATAAGAAGAGACACAGTATTTGTTTGAAGCAGTTTCATGGAGCAACAAAAATGAACCACGATGGAAAGGCTATCGGTATGTGTGTACTTGGTCGGCTCGGTGCGAGATAAGATGATGAATTGATGGACCAGCTTGCAAATGTCGCTCAGTGTGGCGGGTGATTCAAATTCGATATCGTGAGTCAAGCTCTTGTACTGCGTACTTATCCGATAGAGCGACCGTAGAATACTCTCAACGAAGAAATGTCTTCACAGTAAGAACGGCCTTTGCTCCATGGTCGATGGTCGATGCTTTTGAAAGTGAGTCAGTCGCGTCGAGCATGACGAGTCGTACCCGTTCTTGTTCTGGAATCGACGTCTTACTGGGACTTGCACGACTGACGTGACTTTCCTACGCTATTGCCCAAATCGTGATGACTGAAGGCATATCTTTGTGATCGTGCAAGCAATATTAACTCATTCCGTTGAGATAGCAATGACCTCATTCATTGTGTTGATCGTATTTCATGAATAATCAATGGGGAAGGGCAATGATGAATGACCTTAATCGGTGGTCGCAAAATGGCTGCAGCATTGAAGTGGCTCAGGGGAGTTACCGGCTTTCCTTCATTGCCCTTCAACAAGTGGACACCACGAGTAAGATTGATATGCCGGAAAGTGAACACGGGTGGCTGGGAAAGCACAGCCCTCAATCACTTTAGTCGCCCTTGCCATTTCAGAAATCCTGCCACGCCCACAGGCCAGAGAGGAGAGAGCAGAGCAGCACTCACAAATCAAAATATTGCGAGTTCAAAGCAAATAATGACGGCCACCACGAGACAAGAGGAGATTCTGCATCAGGGCCCAGCCCTTCGCAATGCCCAGCGACCCTTTCGCCATCCACTGCTAAAGACAAAGTCGCTTCCAAGCTTGCCGCAGTTGCGAGCTGACTTGCTCGATTCGAGCCTCCATTTGCATCACAAAGGTGACGATGATGACGATTCAATGAGCAGTTTAGAAGACACTGACGACTGGAGAAGCTCCGAAAGACGCAGGCTTACTGGCTTATCCAAGCAAGATCCGAACGCGTGCAGACTGCTCCTCAGTCACGCTCAAAAGACAAGCCTGGAGAACTCCTGTAGCAACCTCAACTTATCGAAGGATGCCCCAGCTATGCCATTTCGAAAGAGGAGTCTGTTAAAGTCAGAGCAAGCCAATATGGATGAAGCCATAGAGCGTCTCCAGCGACTTTCCATGAGCGCGCCAAATTTGCGCTACAGCATTTCCAATTTAGATCTCGACCTTGAAGATGACAACGACGACGAAGACGCCAATAACACCAACCACACTGTCGTAACTCCAACCCGGCGCCGCAACCCGGACCATGATGAACGCGACTCGACCAAGAGTCCACGCACTGTCTACAGCGACGACACTAATGCGGGTGAGCCCCGCGTCTTGTTGAGCAAGCAGCAGACGCGGTCCTTCTCTCGCCGAGAGCGGCTCGAACAAAATCGAAGCACCAGCCCAAATTCCAGGCGCAACCAGCGGGCCAAGTCAGATGGCGGCTGCTCCACTGGTGGGATGAAACGTCGAGCTCGGGTCCGCGTCGTGCGTGCCATGAGCACGGAACGCATTCCAGACAAGGATGGCAAGGTTTTGCTATTTGAACCGGACGAAGATTCACCGACATCAAAAGATGACACTGGAGACGACACTAACAGCAAGAAACCTGTTCTTGAGAGACGTTCATCCACCAAGCGCCCAGGTAGCAGACGACCAAGCGCCGTTGAGCGCAATCCCCTGGTGCGATCAGACAGCAAGACGCGAACCAGCACCAGTCCCTTTCGCGCGAGGCTACAAATCTCACGTCAAAAGCTAATTGAAAAGCTGACAGACGCCGGCGTTGCCGCTGACCAGCACGAGGAAATGATGAACAAAATGGGGTTTGGTTCGGATATGATTGAGTTGAATCAAAGTGCCGAGTTTTAGGCGTTGGCTGCATTGGGTGCTCAACTACGACAACAGACCGCAATAGCTATAATTTTCTTCGTGATGTGAGCAGCCACTTGCTGAAGCGTAAGTTAAGAACAAAAATTCTACGTTCCATTCATTGAGTGTAGAATATGTTTATAAAATAAAAGAGCCTTACATGCTAACGTACTAGAGGCTGTAACATACATAAAAGTAAGTTCTCACCAGTCACATTACAGTCTACTGAGACACCAACCAGGCATACCATCTTCAAACGCAGACTAAAAAATGATGTTGGCATTATTCTGGTGTGATTTGGGTGAATACATGGCATGTTATATGGGCAATTGAATGACAAGGCATCTGTGGGCTGAGACAAGTGAGAAGTTCTCACCAATCACATTGCAGTCTACTTATTTAACTACCGGGCATACCATCTTGTAGCTCAGACTGAATAATGATGTTGGCACCATTCTGGTGTGGTTTAGGTGTATACATGGCATGTTATATGGGCAATTGAATGACAAGGCATCTGTGGGCTGAGACTGGTGAGAAGTTCTCACCAGTCACATTGCAGTCTCCAAAAACACACCATGCCCTCCATCGTGTAGCGCAGCCTGTAAAATGATCTTGGCATCATTCTGGTGTAATTTGGGCACCTACAGGGCATGCTGAAGGGGCGTTTGAATGTCATGGCATCTGCGGGCTGAGACTGGTGACAAGTTGTCACCAGAAACATTGCCATCCCCTGAGACACCAACCAAGCCTACCATCCTGTAGCGCAGCTGGAATAATGATGTTGGTACCATTCTGGTGAATTTTGGGCACCTACAGGGCTTGCTGTAGGATCGTTTGAATGTCATGGCATCTGTGGGCTGAGACTGGTGTTGCAGGATGCGAACGAAAACAGCGAAAATCGGGCAAGTCACACCGAATGTCCGATAGGGTGACACAGCGGCACTCGCGGCTCACCACAGCCTCACGATCGCGTGATGCGTGGCAGCGACGGCTTCGAAGCGATTCAACAAGTATATTGCTGAAACTAGTGCGATATAGAGTAGAAACAAGCAGACTTACTAAGCTTGAAGAGTTAAGAAAGCGATTTATTCGTCTCTCGTATTGTAGCAACTGCAAGCTTGGATTGGCCATCCAAGGACAGCTACAAGCGAAAGGTGCAACGATTTGATTTACAAGTTACAAGATTAACACTGTCTTGAGACTCATTGCCTCGGCATAGAGACTTTATCGACGAAGAGTACTATTGATTTACGAAGTAACGTGGACGCACGTTGGTTCTTGGCCCGGAAAGTTCCGCAGGTGATAGCAAGAACATTGTCACGACGACAACGATGGCGGAAACTCGCGCGCAGAAAGACGCGGCGTTTGCGCATGTTTACGAAGAGAACGTAGGCGTTTTCCAAGATCCTCAGTTCAAGGAGTTATTCGACGAACTCGGAGTAGAATCGCTTACGCAACTGATCGAGATGGAGTACGACGATTTCGCGACGAAGTGGAACGTCACGACGACGACAACGACGACGACTGACGATGGCGACAATGTCACGCAGGAAACGAGCGAACACTCGCTAACGAAGATGAAACAACGCACGATCACGAACGCGATCGAATGGTATTTGGCGCAAGAGTCGCCGGACATCAAGACATGGTCGCAACTGACCACCGAAACGCTGGCGACGTTCGTCACAGCACGAGCGAAGGAACGAGTCCAAGCGCGCAACATTGCGAGCGTGGGCAGCGGAAGCGGAGCGAAACCTCCAGCGAAGGAAAGCGAAACGGAATCCAAGAAGGACGAATCCAAGGACTCCACGCTAACGAACGAAGGCAACGAGTCGAAGCCTGACTCGGCCGACAAGGTGC